GGTGTGGCCCAAAAAGCAAAAAAAGTCTGTATGATATCAGAGACAAACAACTTTATATCCTAATGAAATGCATAAGATAATGAATTTGAATTTTTTGTATTTTTAAAGCTTTCTTGTCATAAAGAAGTAAAATTTGTGGTTCTCTGTTAATGGAATATAAAGCCCAAGAAACCTAACTTGAAGGGTGAGAGTTAATTTTAATTTTAGGTAGTAAGTTCATTTTCATAAATGAACATTATTCTAGTTAAAAGAAAATATTCTGCATTAAGCATAACGGTTTATAGAGTAACCTATTTAGTAGATCACCATGAAAGCTCCCTTTCTCTCAAATATCAGTAATTAGGCTTAAACATAGCGTGTGGGCTCAAGCCGGAGTCAGTATAAAATAGTTATGAAATAGGCCTATGCATTTTGAAGTACATTTTTATTTGAAACCTCTTCTGCAAAGAATGGCGCTTTTTTAAAAATGTAACAGCAGTTTTAAAAATTGATCTTAGTTATGTATCATGGGTATTTTGAGGCCGAAAGATGACTTGGAAAGAATTTTAGTCCAGTCCCTCTGAATTAGTTTGTAAAGTCTTTGGTTGAAAAGTAGCTGATACCGACTGTGACCGAATTAAACAAAAAGCACTTTATGGACAGGAGTTCGGTATGGAGCCCAGGAGAGAGGCCAGCTCAGCTGGGAGGAAGAAGACCCGGAACCCTGGAAAGAAACAGGGCAGCAAGGACCATTTGACACGGGGCTGCTGTGTGTCAGGCTTTATTTTTTGTGGGTTTTTTTTTTTTTTGCATTCAAAATCCTGGGAAAGATGCCAGTTGTCTTAATTCGGGTCACTGACACCACCCCTTGGCTTAGAAATCTTCAGAATCAAGATCCGGTGACACCGAATGTCAGTTGGGACCAACCAGTTTTCAAAACGGGTGTGAACTGGTGCTGGGTTGACCAACCATAGCCACAGTACCTGGCAGAGAGGCTCAGAGCCGGTTTCCTGCTTCCCTGCCCCAATGGGAATCAGAACGAAGACTCTCAGGCTCCTGTTTGGTTTTTGTTGATTTAAAGGAAACGCTGGTGCTACCTGGTTTCCCTTTTCTTTTGTGTCTTGTTTGGGGGAAACTCCAAGCCATGTGTAAGCATCTCCAGGGCTGCAGCTCGCAAAGCCTGAGGGCCTCTGTGTTGCCTAATAGCAAACGAGCAAGGCATGCACCTTAACTCCCATCCAATTTCTCCACCCCATCTCTGCTTTTTCCCTTTTTCTGGACTTGGAGGAAGATAATCCTGATGTCTGGAGCTGCAGCCACCTGATAGTGAGATGAAGCATGAGGAGAAGATTAAGAGTGTCCACAAGATATGGGCCTTGGGTTTGCCAGATCACTGAACCAGGATCGGCAACTGCCAGGTTTAGGCATTTGGGCTGGAAGAAATGGGAACTTGCAGCGTTCAGAGCACTGTGGGGCAAGTTTCCTTCCACTGTGGGAGTCTAGCCAGGTGCTGCACTTGCTCTGTTCTTTTTCTGTCAGCTCTGGAAATAGGCTGGTCCAAATCCCTCAGGAGTCTGCATCCCACCCAGTGCATCATCTTCTGAGAGTTGCCACCATATCCTCTGTTGGTACCCATTGGACAACTCGTGCAGCCTTCTCTGGGCACAGGCCCTGCTACTGTGGCAGACACACAAGCTCTCCATCCACTTTCCTCTCTCGCGGAGCCCTCCATTCCAGAGGGTGGTTGTGGCCCTCGTCTGCAGAGAACTCCTAGATGGTGACGTTTTCTGCCTCCCTAGGCCCTTAGCTGTCCTCGTGAGGTGGAGCTACTGGGGAGGAAGGCAGAAGGGAGAGAAGACACCTTGTGCCGCCTTCTCATGGACTCCTTTGTTCCAACCTGAGCAAGGGGCCAACAGTCATTCCTTCTCTCCACCCCCATCCCTACCCCATTTTCCATCCCTACAAGACAGTAGCTTCTGAGCTTTTAGCTTGGCCATGGCCTTCATTTTCCTCTCTGTGGGTGGACCTGGACAGTTGGTGCTCTTCACCTCTCTGCCATGTAGGACTGGGCTATAGCCCGGCGGGGGTATTCCTCCCAAGATCTTTCTAAAAAGTATAAAAGGAGGCTCCAAGAACCATGCCACTGGACTCCGCGTCAGGCTGTGTGGCGGGTGAGAACCCTCCCCACCCAAGGGACCCAGGCCCGGCAACTGACCTCCACTGCCCAACCACCGCCACGCTCCAGGCCGCTTTCTAGACTTTGTGGCCTCGAAGTGGTCGCAAGACACATTATAATACACTTCCTGCCCATTTATGCCTCTTGGAGAGCCCGGCAAACTTCTAATATTATCCTGCCCACATGGGAAGAGCCTGGCAAGCTCCCCGTGGCATATTCGATATGCCAAATACAGTAACGACAATAGATCTTATTCCCTTGACCCTGAAAGAACCTCCAAACATTGGGAAAGGACGAGTAAGAAAAAGCTGATAAAGTCTCCGGACTGGGAGGAATAGAGACATTACTGGCGCCTGCTCGAGTAATTCGAAGATCAATGGGATGACATTGATACAGTGACAGTGAAGTCCCTTCCTGACTCACCCCCTTCAGCAGGCTGACCTGCGGCCCTCACAGACTCCAAGTTCTTACCACTCCGCAAACTTCCAATTTGACAGATCTTTCTCTAGTGGAGAAGCGCCTCTTACCTCTCTGAATCTCCATTCTCTTGCTCTGCTTTGGGCCTAAGGCAATCCATTACACCAGAAAAGCTGAGCAGTTGACTTCCAAGTATGTTATTATTTTTTTTTTGTAAATATTGTTCCTCACCCCCTAGTCCAACATCACACTTCTTTTTTAAATTGAAGCTCACTGATTATTTACAATTAATATGACAATTTAAATGGTTGGACTTATTTGCTTTAAAGTTTTTACTAACTTGTCATTGGAAATTTCAGGAGGATAGATTCCACCTTTCTTAGGTGTTTGTATGAGTGTTTTAACTCCACAGGTGAATTAAAGTACAGTAAGAGAAAAGAGCTATTACAGTAGGAATTCACATGGGGGTGAGGAATGAGGGAGTGCTAGGGTTGAAACCCAGGGCCTCGTGTACTCTATCACTGGAGTCATTCCTTGCTTCTGAAGAATTTGACGTTGCCTAGTCTTTCGACATATATAATATTGCTTTGTTCCTGAGAAAGTTCTGTGATACACAACAATGCACACATTTTATAGATGGGAAGAAATGAAGACCAGCAAGATGAAGCAGAACTTGGCCCAACTTCCTGGACTAACCCAAGGCTGTGACCACCTCACAGTGAAAAAAGAAATTTTTAGGCCACTAAAAAAAATAATTTCTTTATTGAGGTCTTAGAGTAGACAATACTCTCAGAGTTGTTGGTTTACAGGTTCAGAGTTACTATACCAATCTCTCCACCAGTATTTTCAGATGAAATTTTTATCTTCACTAGTGAAATTTTTATCAGAATTCCCTTCCTGAATTTATCACTAGTAGTTTTACATCATGTCCGTTGTTCTATTTCATTGTCTCTTAATGTTTACAAAATGATAGATAGTAGGTACCAGAGAGAGAGAGAGACAGACAGACAGACAGACAGACAGACAGAGAGAAAGAAAGAGAGAAACAGAGAGATTGAGATAGAGAGGGTACAGCAGCTATGGTGCTTGTCTTGGTGAGTCAAGCCCAGTTCATTCCTGGTACCACATCTGGTCTTCCAAGCCCTGCCAGTAGTAATCCCTGAGCATAAAACCAGGAGTAAGCCCAGAGCATCACCAGATAATGCTCCGAAACCTATAAAAAAAGCAATGAATGGCAGAAAGCTATACTCTTTGCCTTCAAATCTCTCATCGAGTGGTATTATAGCCACCAAATAGCAAGTATTTCATAGATCTGTTTATTTCGTATATACATTTTTAAAATCTAATATTATTTGAATATTTTAAAAATCTTTTTTAATTATGTTCTCCATTTAACACTTTACAGGGGCCTAGAACTAATTTTATCTAGAACTTAGGAGATATTTTTTGATAAGTAATGGAATATTAATTTGTCACTTTTATCTCCTTGTGGACTCTTTATTATTAAGGTAGAAGGTAAATATTATTATAGCAGGTCATTTTTCTTAACCCTAATTGAAAATTATTTAAAAATTATATGCAAAAGGTGAGAAATATTAGAGCGGTTAAGGCAGTTGGCTTGCAGACAGCCAATCAGATTTAATCCTCTGTACCACATCTGGTCTTGAGCACTGCCTGATATGGCCCCCAAACACACACACACACACACACACACACACACACACACACACACACACATACTAGATTTCAATAAACTCTGTCTTCATACATGCACACAAATGAATTAGCTTTCATAAAGTACAGTGAAACTGAATATAAACTGTGGTTTTAAAAAATACTAAATGATATGTAAATTTTACCTGACTTCTTTGGGTCGGAGGCCAATATATTAAGTATTGGGAGGTATTGTCAGTTGCTGCGTCTGAATGCTTGTAACCCCCAGTTCATAGATTGTAACCTCACCTCCATGGGTGATAATATTAACAAAGAATTCTTGGGGTGCTTAGATGGGAAAAATGAAATTGGTACCTAATTACAAAGGCTCAGGAGGACTCCCTGGCCCCTTCTACACCAGAACAAAGGGTTGGGTGGGGCTGACTCTGAACTGGGAGGAGTTCTCACCAAGAGGCAGCCCTGCAGCTGCCTTGTCTTGATTTCCCAACTCCAGAGCTTCTTGCTACTCCAGAAGTCTCCAGAGCTACTTGCTACTCCCTTTTCAGGCTTCTGTTACAAAAACCTGAAAGGACTGAGACACCGGTCAACTAACTTATTTGTTCTTACTGGTAAAACAGGATCCCATTCAAATCACTGTATCTAGAAAGCTCCTAGCATCTTTCATTAGACTGAAGCTGTTTTATTGTAAGTGGAAAACCTGGGACAGGTTTAAAAGATTAATCAGTGCATTAAGCACCGTGCTTCTTCTTTACAGCTACCGGAACTCATACAAGAAGAACATCTGTGTGGATTTGCTGCGCGATGGTTACCTTAACGCCTTCATCGAACTCTTTGGTTTGATAGAGAAGTGGGAGAGTATGAGGCTTATTGCCAAGGAGAAGGAGACCTTCTGGCCGCAGAAACCCCTGGAGGATCAGCCGGAGAAACTGGATCATCTCTACTACCACCTGACCAAGGCCGAGGAAGCTGGCAGGAAAAGTACGTGGAGAGAGGGAAGGAAGGCCACTGCCAAAGAATGGTCAGGGGAGGGGGTTCTTCCGGGAAGATTCTAGATCATCTAATGCTGTTTAGTTTAGCCTGGAGACCTCCATGGAATAAATTCCAGGGCACCTGAATCAATGGGCGACTTGATCTTGGGGCATCTTAGTGAGGTCATTTTGTTGTTGTTGTTTTGGGTCACACTTGGTAGAGGTCAGGGGTTACTCCTGACTTGCACTCAGGAATCACTCCTGGTGGGCTCGGTGGACTATAAAGGATGCCAGGGATTGAATCCTGGTCAGCCGAGTGCAAGGCAAACACCATATTATGGCTCTGGCCCCAGTGTGAGGTCATTCTTAAGCCAGAGAAGGCAATGCATACCCCTCACAGTCTATCGTATAGCCAGAACTTTACTTTCCCACAGATGAAATTCTATTTTCCTCATTCATTATGAAAATTATACCTTAGTTTGTCATATGTCTCTGTGTGTGTGTGTGTGTGTGTGTGTGTGTGTGTGTAAAGCGCCTGAACATTGATTTTTACTGAGGAGGCTCAAAGAATTCTGTAACCTGAAAATTATATAAATTTTCTAGCACTCTTACAATAAAATCCAAAGGTTTCAATATGTACTAGAAGCTTCTGAGACTTTTCAAACTAGAGATTTGTGAGAACACAGACCAGAGAGATTCTACATTTCACAATTGTGACTTTAAGTTGTTCACTTTTCCCTCATGGTATTATTTCTAGTAAGCTTTTTATGTTTCAAGTATTGAAGAAAAGATTTTTATCTTGAATGTAATTTAATTGACATTTAAGATCATAAGTATTTTTATGGACAGATTAGAAATTGGGGGGGGGGACTGGAGCAATAGTTAGCTGAGCATTTGCCTTCCACGCAGTCGACCTTGGTTCAATCCCGAGCACCCTGAATGGTTCCCCAAGTCCTCCATAAGTCATTCCTGAGCACAAAAACAAACAAAAAATTGACTACTTTTCTGTGATCAAAGAAAAGATGGGAATTCTGAATTTTGGCATGTAAATCTGACATTCTGAATAATTTTCTTCCGTGTGTGTGTGTGTGTGTGTGTGTGTGTGTGTATAAACACCATTGGACTCAGAAACAAAACTTCAGGCCCCAGCATAAAAATCGCTACCTTGTACATATCAAGCATTTCTCTGAAAAGGTAAAATTATTACATATATTCTGTTACCTGGTACTGCAGTGATGAAAATTCATGGGAGCATGGCATCAGTGTGGTCTGGGGGGTTGAACTGGGGTTGACTGCCTTAAAAGGGCCAGTAACTTGGACTCTACACTGTCTCCTTGGTGCTAATATCCTGCTTCATCCACTTTCTTTACCTGTTTACCAAGTTTAAAAGAAACACTGCTTTCTCTGGAGCACTGAAAAAGTCCTCAATGAAACTGTACTCATTTCTTCTAAAAGAACTGAGCACGTTGCTGGGAGTATTACTCTGACTTTCCTCTTATGAAAATGCCCAGTGTTTCCAAGAATCAGGAATATTGCCCCATAGTTGGATGCCTGCCTCATGAGCTGGGGGAGAAGGCAGCTGGGATAGAGAAGGAATCACTAAGTCAACGATGGTTGGAGGGATTGCTCAGGATGGGAGATGTGTGCTAAAAGTAGATAAAGGACCAAATGTGATAGCCTCTCAGTATCTGTTTTGCAAACCATAATGCCCAAAAGTAGAGAGTATGGGAGAAACTGTCTGCCATAGAGGCAGGGGGAGGGTGGGAAAGGAGCGGTATACTGGGGCCAATGGTGGTGGGGGATGTGCACTGGTGGAGGGATGGGTGTTTGATCATTGTGTGATTTAAACTCAAACATGGAAGCTTGTAACTGTATTGCACGATGATTCAAGCACAGTGATTCAATAATATTTTAAAAAAAAAGAAAATGTTCAGTGTTTTGATCAACTAGTGAGTCAATTCTAACACATTGCAAGGTTTGCGGGGAAATTATTTTTGTTGCTTTTCTCAGGAGCACTACTTTAATTAACAAGTGGGTTCATTTAGTTGTAAGGGGAAGAACAAAAAGGAGTAAAAAAAAAAAACCCTCTCCCATTAATTCGCTGTTTGAAAGGAGGTTCCAGGCAAAAGGCATTTCTAATGCAGATTCTGGATGTTTCTCTCTCTGAAGAATCCCCCGAACATGTCTATGATAACTTGTACGCTCTGGCCTGTTACTTCAATAACAATGAAGACACATGGGTCCGGAACCACTTCTTTGAACGATGCTTTCAGGTGGCTAAAGAGATCAAATTGGACGGCGGGAGGAAGGAGGCCGAGGCGCACCGAAATATGGCTTTTCTCTACGAGGAAGAAGGTGAGTGATCTGCGGCCAGGCCTGTTCTGGGGCTGTGAAGGGTCCAGAATCTAAGCAACTAGAAACTAGAAGACAAGTGTGTGTGTGTGTGTGTGTGTGTGTGTGTGTGTGTGTGTGTGTTGGGAGTAGTGGGGGTGAACAGTGGTCAGTGGTCCCAGAAAAACACCAGAGACTTGAGCACCTGGATGTGAAGAGAGAGCCGAGAAGGTGCAGGTGTGTGTTCCCTAGGCCCATCACCTCTCTGGCCCCCAACCCCGCACTCATCCAGCAGATTACATGCAGTCCTGCTGGGATTTCTTATAAAATACCCCACCTTGTCCATTTTACCTTGATTTCTCATTGTTTAAAATGATGACGAGGGGTGAAAGGAAAAGTCCACCGTGGTTACCCCAGAGCCCCGTGGCCCATCTTGACCAACTATACCAGGATCCCTGGAACTCGGACCTCTTCAAGACGGGTTCACAGTAACTTTTTTTTTTTTGCTTTTTGGGTCACACCCAGCAATGCACAGGGGTTACTCCTGGCTCATACACTCAGGAATTATTTCTGGCAGTGCTCGGGGAACCACATGGGATGCTGGGAATCGAACCCGGGTCAGCAGGGTACAAGGCAAACGCCCCACCAACTGTGCTATCATTCCAGTTCATAGTAACTTCTGAAGTAAATCTTCCTTTATATGTCCCTGTTCCCTTAATAATCTTAAAACAAGTCTGAAACAAAAAACTCATGAGAAAGAAATTGTATACGGTGGGTTTTCTGAGGAATACAAATAAGAATTTAGCAATGAAGTTTCCACGGTGAATGTGTTTGGATAATGCAAAGGAAATATAGAGGAAAGGGATGGAAGAATAGTAAGCTGGATCTGGCACTTGCCTTGCATGTGGCTGACCTGGGTTCTATTTCCAACATCCCATGGGTTCCTGCAAGCCCACTAGGAGTGATCCCTGAGCACAGAGCCAGGATTCAGCCCTGAGCACTGTGGGGTATGACCTCAAAACATAGAAAGAAGAAAAAGAGAGAGAGAGAGAGAGAAAGAAAGAAAGAAAGAAAGAAAGAAAGAAAGAAAGAAAGAAAGAAAGAGCAGGGAGGGAGGGAGGGAGGAAGGGGAGGGAAGGAGGGAGGGAGGAAGAAAGGAAGAAAAGAGAGGAAGGGAGGGAGAGAGGGAGGGAGGGAGGAAAGAAGGAAGGAAGGAAGGAAGGAAGGAAGGAAGGAAGGAAGGAAAGAGGGATGGAAGGAGGGAGGGAGGGAGGGAGGGAGGGAGGGAGGGAGGGAGGGAGGGAGGGAGGAGGGAGGGAGGGAGGGGAGAGGGAGGGAGGAGGGAGGGAGGGAGGGAAAGAGAGAGGGAAGGAGGGAGGGAGGGAGGGAGGGAATCCGCATGTGTTATCCTGCTTATTTCTCTTCAAAAATCTCTCCCATAAAAATTGAGATATTGACTAAACAGTTCAATTAGAAAATCTGTATTATTTTGTGTCTCAGACTGCCTGGAACTTTGAGAAAAGATGAAAAAAGGGTTTTGTGCTTCAGGAAATTGTGTTCAGTGAATGCCAGTGTAACTTACAATGTGGCAGAGCTAGGATAAGCTCTGGGTCTATCTAAAGTGCTGGATAGAGAAATTTCTTGAAATATTCAGAGAGGAAAGATCTCATATAGACTCAATTTCCTTGAGGCGGGGTGGGGAGGGTTCAAGCATGAGGGACTTGGATGATGGGTGGGATTTAGACAGGTCACGATAAGGATTAAATTCTGCAAGGGAACAATAGACTTCTTATTAATCCATAATTTGATGAGTTAATAGGTAGCACAACCTGTAGAAAGTATTTCTAGCAGTGATGGGGGCGGAGGGGGAAGCAAGACTAGGAAAATGACAGAATTTCACTTCTGTCATTCAGGCAAGACTAGGGAAATGACAGAATTCTGAGTCTGGGCTTTTAAGCTTTTATGCATTCAGGGCAAGGGAGGAGGAACGATTGTGATTGCCCAGCTGGAAGGTGAGTAGATGATACTTTACCCTGGGAGGACAATCAGAACTTTTTAAAGAGATTTTACTTAAGGATGGACATTGCAGAACCATTTTATATGCCACAATAGACTGCAGAGGTGTCCAGACATATTTGAGGTACCACCCTTGTTTCAGGAAAAAAAAATCAACTTCTCAGTCAACTCCTTAGAAATCTCCCTTCCTTAAGAGAATCAACAGAAAATACCCTAAATTGCCTCTGAGGTTATCCACACCCCCATTACCATTGCCCTGTGTAAACGGGATTTGTGAAATATTTGAAGCAACATTCAGGCAGTGGTTTTGTGCAACCATACAATGACAGATTAGAGCCAAATTCAGCCTTTTGTTCAACTCATACGCATTTTGAACCTTGTGCTGAGGGATAAAAAGGCATCTAGAGGCTACGGAGGATTAGAAATGACTTGGGGACGGGGTGGGGGGTGGAGAGGTTAAGTACTGGTATGAAAAAGCACAAGAACAAAATGCTATGGGGGGGAGGTTGCCAACTTATGTAAGATGAGAAGTGGTTGGAGGGCGACACCTACATGAAGGAGGAAGTGGGGAGTGAGTCTTTGGACTGGACTCGGGCTGGGCACATGCCTGAGGTACTGGCATAAGAAGCTACTAGAAGGTTGGTTTGTCCTGAGTCCAGTAAGTCGGGGGCAACACGTGGAGTGAGAGGAGATGCCTCATTTAGGCCAGGAGGCTTGTCAGGAATTGCTTTGGAGATGTTAGGCCAAACTGAGCACTTTGGACTTTATTCTATATTCTGTGGGGGACCTCAGATCTGTTGGTTTGAGAAATGTTGGTGGTAATTGGTGCAGAAAGGCTAGATGCAAAACAATGTAGAATACAATCATATTTGGTATGGACCACAGAGAAATATGTCAACAGCAATTATTTTGGAATGTGGACATCATAGGTGGCTAAAAATATGCTCACAAAATTTAAAGAACCCAAAGGAAGCAGTATATTTGTCCCATACTCTCTGCTGATGTGGCTATAAAGAAATGTTTTTCATCTCCTCTATATCAGCTTATTAATATGTGCGATGTCCTACATAAATGCTATTTTAAAACAATTATGCTGTGATTATGTTAATGAGCATAATTTGAGTCTTTTTGAGCCAAATGTCTTAACCCTCGTACTATCTCTCTGGTCCCCTATTGCATGAGGTTGAGGCTCCCATACTTCCTAATAAATAGAACACTGGGCTCTGGAATTATATTTTAGTTAGATCGCTTTATTTCCATCTGCTGTCAGATATGAAACATCCTTCTAGGCCCTGAGTCAGTTCAGAGGGTCATACCTTCATTGCCTGAGGGATTAAATGACCCACCCCTCATTGGCACAACTTCTGTGACCTGGGGGCACCGTTTCAGGAGGCTGGGGGGGGGGGAACGAGGACCCTCATGAACGTGGGGCTGGAGGGGAGGGAGCACTCACCTGGCCAGAGGATGCCCCTGAGCTCAGGGTGGCCGGGTTTCCGTGCGTCTGATCTGATGGGACCAGACAGGCGAATGGAGACCCCGCGGCCACCAGCGGGACTGCAGCTGTGCTCAGGGGCAGGTGGCACTTGCCGTTTTCAGGGGTACAGGTTCAGGTTAAAGCAGGGGACCAGGCAGCAGATGGCAAAGGACAGGTTGGTGGGCCCATGCGTGTGGGCTGCAGACAATGAAGACGACCAGAAGCTGCAGGCACGGGGCAGGGCAGTCTCCGCCCTCTGGCGCCTACGTGATCAGATCCACGCCCAGGTTCGGGCTTGGAAATAGCATCTGCCCCATTCAGTTTCAGCCCATCTGGGATTTGAGGTGACTTTTCAAAGGTTCCAACCAGTGTTGGAAGTCAGGAAGAGGAGGCCCAGGAAGATTCCCAATTCAGAACCCCCTGTGACTTTAGCATGGGGATTCAGTAATCTCTGTTATTGATCAGTTTTTCCCACAGACAGGGAACTTTGAGGAAAAGAAAAGATGATTGGCTGCTTGGTTAAAACTTTATTTATATTGATACTTATCCACCCCCCACAAATGCAAAAACATTTACTTGGGAAAAAAGGTGCATACCTATGTTTGTTGTAGTGCTTAGTACAATAGCTAAGATTAAAAAAAAAAGCAGCCCAAGGACAGATGAATGGATAAAGAAGTGGTGTTGTATATACACAATAGAATACTATACAACTGTGAAAAAGAGATGAAACCATGCCATTTGCTTCCATCTGGATGCAACAGCAGGGTTTCATGCTAAGTTAGATAAGCAGAGGGAAGAGAGACTTACAGGATATTCTCACTTGGTGATATATAGAGTGATAAGACAAGAGAATGGACAGGAGCAGAGAAATTGAGAGGTCAGACATGGTAACACAACAGCATTGGTCAAGGGTCTTGGAGGTGTAGAGGTGAAGTAACTGTACGTCAAAACCACAAGAGTCAATACCTTTGTGTAAAAATGTGACCCAAACTACTGTCCTCCCGTTGTTCATCAATTTGCTCAAGCGGGCCCAGTAACATCTCCATTGTGAGACTTCTTGTTACTGTGTTTGGCATATTGAATACTCTCGGTAGTTTGCCAGGCTCTCTGAAGAAGGGCAGAGGAATCGAACCCAGCTCGGGCGGACTGGCTGCGCGCAAAGCAAATGCCCTTCCGCTGTGCTATCACTCCGACCCAAACTACAATAAGTAAAATTATTTTTATAAATGGGTTTCTGGACTACAGAGATAGCACAGAGTTTAAGACATTGTTTTGCATAAAGAAGAGTTGATTTACAATATGTTGACACTAAGTGGACCTTGGTTGCACAGGTTGATTCTATATAGAATATTGATAGAGTATTGTGGTGCACTTTACCAAGGCACACTGAAACAGCTCCTTCTATCCCTGACAAAACCAGAAGTGAAAGCAAATCCAGCAGCAGATTTGTGGAGACCACCCTGTGCGGTACCCAACCCTCATTCCCTGTAGCCCTCCATCTCTGGGGAGGAGGCAGGGGAGCACATTTATCCCA